AACGACTCACTGAAGAATGAGCGTCAATCACAAGTAGCCCCCACCCTAAAGCATACCCTGCTATATTATGGTCTGTTTTACTCTAAAATCGGACCATCAGTTAACTAAATGAACATCGATCTGTATGCAAAGAAGACTGCAAACAGAGACTGAGAACCAGAAACTCATCAGGAAACTTAATAAATCAACTTCCCCATAAAGTATGTAAAAATGGACTTATTGTTATAGCACCTAGTCTTCCACATTCACTCACTGATGCAAATGCCATCAAACAGAACGCTAAGTTCATTCATAGTGGAACATCCAGCAGGGGCAGCTGCAGCTACGACATTAAGAGATATCAGGTTGTTATAAACATATCCAGTGATACAGATTACAGACACATCACAACTCACTGCCCAGTTTATTAACAGAACAATCGACACTGAGAACATTAATAGTCAGATATTCAGTGCTGCAGAGCAGTGGGTAGACCTCTGAAGCCTCTGTAATGGTCAGTACAGTCTAATGCGGTGATGTGTCAGTAGTGTTGTGTCAGGCGGTTGATGCCTCTGCTGTTGCACGAGAGATCGAACATGGGCGACAAGTTCTCAGAAACCTTCCGCCTCCATCTTACTGATCCAAAACCTCGTCGGGTTCACTTTCTCCTCCCGCACTGTAGCCAGAGACACCTGCAGACCACGACACAGGACACCAGGTATGTAAGACCACACACATGCCCTAAGCGAAAGCAGAAGCCTGCAGCTTTATGACTGGCCATTTTAAACAGTTTTCTCATCACTAGTGCCACATCAAACACTGTGCTTCTAGTTAATAACCAACCTTGTTGGGGAATGAGGACAGACCAAGGAACCTGAGTCCACAGTGCTTGTCCACCGTCACTTCAGGAACCTGTACCATACCTGAGGATGAGAGGAAGGAGTGAGGAAACAGAATATTAATGTGTCACCTAATTTAAAGTTAATAACCTCACTTGATATATGCCGATCTTCGCTGAACATCAATGTACCTTTCAAGCAGCACGGCTTTCACTGAAGAAGAAGGTTCTGCTATTCGCTCAAATAAAATTCAATTAATTCAATGAAATAAATAATTAAATAGTAATAATAAATATAGAAATATTTATAATTCTGTAAGGCTTAAATGTTTCCATTGACTATCTACAAGATCATTTATTTCCTCAACACCTTAACCTTTTGTTCGATCAAGCGGCCCTATAAATATCATCTTATTTTCTACTTAAAATACAGCATTCAAATGGTAGGTTATTCAGCGAATTACCCAAGGATTAATGATGCTCTATATAATGTGAATCTGTCTGGAGCGAGGGAGCGATTCAGGAGCGATAATTGTACAGTTCAGAAAGACTAACTCTCATGAGAAATAATTTGATTGGTGGTAGCCGAGTTTGGACCCTTTGTTCTCAAAGAGGTGAAGAACCAAGCTGCAGCCACCCGGGCCGACCCCTATTGCGGGATATAGAACAACAAAAATGTTCCTCTGCATACTTTTTTTATGGGACTTGTGGTCTGGACTTAGTCACGCTCCCACTTCAGTTGGCTACATTAATGTTGAATTTATTTGGACATGGTTTTTGGATTGTCCAGCGAGGAATTAGCATTACCTGATGTAGGACACCTTCTAAGTAGTTTCAACATGAAACTGTCTGTTCACCCGAGTTCTAAATTAAAATCGAAGATGCCCATATCGCGATAGAACTACGAACTGCTATTTATCGGCAATTCCATCATAAACGCACACGCTGCCCTCAATAACGTTAAGTAATGTAATGAAAACTGATAATTATGTAAATGCGTAATTTACACCAACCAGTACATCTCGAAATTTCACCGCATTTGTCTGGACCACAAAACTATAAGAAAAAATATGTTGTTTATTACTGTTTACTGTATCTTATATGTTGTTTATTAATGTTTACGGTTTACATTTACTGTTACTGTTTACTTTTACTGTTTACTATTACTGTTCTTATATGTTGTTTATTACTGTTTACTGTAACTTATATATTATTTATTATTACTTTTTACCTTTTACTGTTTACAGTTTTCCTTGTTTGTGCCCCTGACTGCAAATCAAGTTTCCCATTTGGGATCATAAAGATAACTGGACTGGACTGGACTGGACTTTCTGTGACCTCTGACCTTTCTGGCTCTGGATCAGTCTCTTGCCCAGCTCCAGGGTGATGAAGGCCGTCCCATTCAGGACGATGTCCGTTATACTTTTCCAGCCGTTTGGAGACAGACGCTCTGATGGACAGACGAAGTTTCCCGCCGCGTTGTTGATGATCACCTGGACCAATCGGGACACACGAGCAGAGTGATGTCATCATGAATAGTTTAATTTTGTCTCTGACATCACAGTTGACTATCACAATAAAGATGTGTGTGTGAGTTACATCAGGAAGTCCGGTCAGTGTTTCCACCTGGTCCACACAGTGAGAGACAGCCTGAGGGTCTCTGACATCACACTGGACCACATGGACCTGAGGACAGAGAGAGGAGGACCTGGTCAGACCAGGTCAGGCCGGGTCAGGCCAGGTCAGACCAGGGATTTGTGTTAATTTATGAGAATGACATCTTTCATGAATATTAATTAGGAACCAAGCAGCCACCACGCTGAGGTCCTACTGAAATGTTTTTCTGCCCAGTATATCACATTTATGGCAGCCTTAACATCCCAAACTCATAAAACTAGCAATTATTATTAATAATCAGCTATATGGACAATATTTCAGCAGCTGATTTGGACAATATAGGAGTGGGTTTGGGGGTTATTGAGGATGCTGAATCCATTTCTGAAAATCCACAAAATGGACGTTTAAAACCAGCTCCCACTGGGCTGATTGTGATTCACTTTGAGGTAATTTATACGATTAATACATTGGCAGGTCCAACGTCCAGTTTATAATCAATAAAGCTCAATGTCATTGGTCATTGGGTTTGTCATTGACTGACTGTGCTGCTGTGGTTATCTGTATGAAAATCAGAAGGCACATGTATCAAACAGGAAGTCAGCCATTTTTAATTTAATCTGCAATTTCTGCTTTAGTATGACAAACTCCTCCTAAAGAATTGATCGTATTGACTTCAGATCATGAATAACTGTTCATGAAGTTATTAAAAGCTTGAGGATTTGTTCAGCAATGTGTCCCTGGAGTCAAATATTGCTTTATTGCCATGAAACAGGAAGTTGTTGTCACTTCATCCCAAATTCATGTCTGATAAAAGTCCCGCACCGAACACATCTATACATCTATATACCAAAATTCAGTCACTGCCACAGCACCCTCTATTGGCAACAGGAAGTAAGCGTTGTATGGCAATAATCACCAGTTTTACACCTGTTCAGTTTCTGTACAAGAGCAACTTTATTCTTATAAATCTAAACTTTTGTAGATGTGGCGCTGGCATCTGAAGTCCTGTTTAGTGAATACAACACAGGTGTCCAGGTCAGTCTGTTTGAGTCTGGTTCTGGTTCTAGTTTGACACCTTGTTTCCGGTCTGGCTGCTGATCTCCTCGGCTGTTTTCTGCAGGACGTCCAACTTCCTGAAAAAAAAAAATAAATAAAAAAATAAAAATGAAAAGGTCATAAAATCAAAGTCAGTAACTGTAGACACATGTAGACCTGCCTAAATATAATAAATAATATACAGAAATATACAAATTATAAATAAATAAATATCAGAATCAGAAATACTTTAATAATCCCAGGGGGAAATTACTTTATATATATATAATAAATATAAATAGTTTTGATTTAACTCTTTCCTGTCACTGTGAACATAAAGCGTGTCATCGGCAAAGAGCATCATTATTTGTTCTTTCAGGGTTTTCCCAGAGGACAAATAACCTCTGACCTGAGGAGGTGGGGTTAGTGTAACATGACCTCTGACCTGCTGGCGATGACACATTGAGCTCCCAGCTGTGACAGGGCAGTGGTCATGGCTCGGCCCAGTCCCGTCCCCCCTCCTGTGATGAATGCCACTCTGTTGTTGAAACTTCCTGTCGGCAGCATCACGCCTTCAGCCGGCGGGAAGAACGCCGACTGAGGAGGAGGAGAACCAGACTGCTGAGGTAGAACGGTTCCACTGTGGAACCAGGACTGGAAGAAAACAAGAGATCAACTTTGTGGTTTCTGAAAGATAAATACTTTATCATCCAAAATGTTCATCATTTGAAAAATGGTTGAAAATACATCAGATGGCATCATTTTGTACAATTATACAATAATAACTTTGTTACTTATAAAGGGGACTAATTAACCCTTCGTAAGCCCCGCCCCTTTTTGCTTTGTGCTCCAATAACAGTTGAGCAAGAATTGGTCAGAACCTCAGTCAACTTCCTCCTTTCCTCTACTTAGATATGCTATATGCTAAGCTAATCTATGTTGCAAAGACAACCACATTGTGAATATGGTTAAAAAATAAAAGAGACAAATATATATATAGTCACATCTTAAGTTAATGTTATTCAATAGTTAGTTCTACAATTCAAATAGATAGATACAGATTTCTGTGAATCTTTGATTAAATAAAACAACACATGAATGAATTACAATGAAAAACTGTCCATTACACCAAAATGTTTGTTTCTCACTGAAATTGTGTTTGTTTGTTTGTTTGTGTGACTTCAGGTGTGATTTTATGTGATTTGTTTTTATATTTAAATTAAATTATTTAAAAAAAGAAAACAAAGGGTTATTATTTGATGTTTCAGCAGCATTAAAGCTGCAGAAGAAGAAGAGCCACAAACATTTTGTTTATTCTCAATAAAACTTAAAACAAAGACAAACTTTCAGCAAATAAAACTTGGTGGGTGAAAGGTCAAACTCAGTTAGGGTCCATTTATTTCTCTGTGTTTAATTTGTTGAACTTTTCTCAGTTTCTCTCAGACTATTGATTGTTGATTATTGATGTGCAGCTTTGAGGACTTTAGCTGATTTTAATTATTGTATTAAAGTTTCCTCACCCTGCGACCGGAAGTCTTCACTGAGCCGAAAAAAGCTGCTCTCCTCCAAATCACTGCGGCCGCCATCTTGTTTCAGAGCTCCTGACCTTTGACCCGGATCATACCAACAGGAGAGAAGGAGGGAGAGATATTTTATTTTATGACAAACAGATCAATAAAGATATTATAATACAACAGAAAGTATCTCTTCTTTTGATTTTATTAATTACATTTCATTTATGTTGAGCTCGAAAAGTTAAACTAAAGTAACTTATTGATTATTAAACATGTTAATAATCAATAATCACTGCCACTATTGTTGCTGATCATTAGAGGTTGTTGAAAGCTCCAGAAAAAGCCAGTAAGAGGACCGGTTAAAGCACTTTAAAATAGTTTAATAAACTCCATGAAATAGTTTTAATATCTCAGTTTAATAAACTCGTTATGTCAGTTTTTAGTTTTGGGGATGTAAAATTCATCAAATATGAAAATGATGTGAAGTAAAACCAGAAACTAATAGTTTATATGATATATAATAATAAATATTATTAATAATGTAGTGTTTATTATTACCATTATAATAACATGTGTTTCTGCCCCCCCTCCACTGAACCGCGGTGGTTCAGTCCAGAATGTGACGATGTCACGTGTTACCGTAACGTGTGTAAAAGAATAAAAACATTCCGGTTTATTTTCTGATTTTTCTCCACAAACAAACTTCCCCCGTTAGATGATCGATGTCCAATCAGTGTAGTATCGATTATTGATCGGATGGACCCTGTCGCGCGTTTAAAGTCAGTCTGATAGTAGTTTTATTTTGAAGTGCTTCCTGTTTGCTCTGACAGTTACGGTTCCGGTCCGGTGTGGTCCGACGGTAGGACAGGAAGCAGCAGCAGTATCGATCAGTGATCAGTGGAACCTGATGGAGGATCGAGTCTCTGAGCCCAAACTGGTTCTGGTCTTCAGTGGGAAGCGGAAGTCCGGGAAAGACTATGTGACGGACCTGATCCAGAACCGGTAGTTGAAACCAGATCATTATAGATTATTGGTTTAATATCAGTACCTGTGTCACTCTGATCAGTTTCAAAACAGTATTGATTATTGGTTATTTAAAGTGAATTATATTTAATATATTTAATGATTAGAATACGTATATATAAAAATATATATTTATATATGATAATGTGAAAAACTACAACCTGTCTGTGTTTGTAATAAATATTAATAATGATCTAAAATTATGTGAAAATGCAGTTTTATATATATTTACTACAACCACATTCAGTTCAGTATCTTGCTGAAGGACACTTGGACATGCAGCAGGAGGAGCCGGGGATCGAACCTACAACCTTTTGATTAGTGGACGCCCCGCTCTGCCTCTGAGCCAGTTTACAGTTCCTCTGTGTGTTAGTAATATCTGTGTATAACTCTCCTGTTTCTTCTGCTGCAGTTTGGGCTCTGATGTTTGCTGCGTGCTGCGTCTGTCGGGACCTCTCAAACATCAGTACGCTCAGGTGAGACAACACCTGCTGACACACGGCCCCATAAACAGGTGGCGCCAGAGCGTCAGATCTGAGGAAGAACCGTAACACAGTAACACTATGTCATATCACTATGTAATAATGTTACTGCTGACTCGTACTGTTACTGCTGAGTCATAATGTTACTGCTGACTCGTACTGGGAGCTACTTGGGAACTGGAGGGTCGCAGGTTCAAGTCCTACAGACCACAAAATATGGAGTGTGGACTGGTAGCTGGAGAGGTGCCAGTTTCACCTCCTGTGCACTGCCGAGGTGCCGCTTGAGCAAGGCAACCTAAACCCCGAAACCTGCTTCATGAGGCGCTGGTAACGTGGGGGCTGCCCATCACTCCACATCTCTCCCCTTTGATTCGTCCACATTGTGATGAAAGTGGTATTTCAAGCTGTGTGTGTGTGTTGGTGTGTGGTGTATAAAAGCAGTGAAAGGTTCGCTAGGGATCAATAGACAGTATTTTTCTTATTACTTCTTACTGCTGACTCGTAATGTTATTCGAGTCATAAATGTTAATTCAATTCATTCAATTCAGTTTTATTTATAGCACCAATTCCATAACGAAGTTATCTCAGGACACTTTTCAAATGAGCAGGTCGTAGACCCGAACTCCTTTTAACATTTACAGAGACCTAACAGTACCACCCATGAGCAAGCACTTTGGTGACGGGGGCAAGAGAAACATGCCTTACAGGCAGGAACCTAGGAGACGAGGCAGAAAAGAGAGAGAGAGACAGAGAGAGAGACAGGACAGACAGGTGAACAGCAACACACAGTAATTGTAATGGCAGTCTTAGCAGGACATTGGCAGGGAGGTCCACCCAGGATCCATGAAGAAAATCCTGCAGGACTGATAAAGCACAAGAACTCCGGGAAGAAGTGAAGTCTGTAACATGCATTAATGGACGATGAATGAGTGCAGAGAAGAGAGAGAGAGGAAAGAGAGGAGCTCAGTGCACCATGGAATCCCCGATAGTCCTAGGCCTATAGCAGCATAACTAAGGAGATGGTCCAGGCACTCACCTATCCAGCCCTAACTATAAGCTTTATAAAAGGAGGAACTCTTACTGCTGACTCGTTACTGTTACTGCTGAGTTCCATACGTTTCCTTTGGTACTGCAGGAACACGGTCTGGACCCTAGACAGTGCTGGGTCCTGGTCCTTATAAGGAGAAGTATCGGGCCGATTGATGTTAATTGGGGAAGAGACTCGACGGCGCAAGGATCCCCGGATTCTTCTGTCGCCCTAGCACCAGAGGATTCAACAGCAACCTGTTCTGGGTATGTCACCATCGGTGAATTCGGTTTAAGAGCCTCGATTGGAGGTTGTTGGCCGTCACCATGACAGTAAAACGGCAGCCAGCAGAAGGTCACGTACCAGCGAGTTTGACGCTGCTCTCCCATTGGGCGTCTTCCTGCTCACCAGGATCTGGTGTTTCCAGAGAACAGTAAAATTGTGTTCGTGAACAGTTTGAGGAGAGAATAGTCAACAACGGAATCTGGACTCCATATCTCTGATCAGCCTGTTTGACAGTTGATCTGAGTTTGGTTCGTTGAGTGACGGACTCACTGAGAAATGAGTGTCAATCCAAGGTAGCCCCGGCTCCTAGCAACTATTTATGGTCTGTTGACTTCTTAAATGGGACCATCAGTTACTAAAGAACATCATGCTGTATGGAAGGAAGACTGAAACTAGAGACGAGAGACAGAAACTCATGACGCTGTGCTCTGATTGGTCGGTGGTGAAGTGCACGGCCCGCGGCTCTTCACGACCTGCAGTGGTTCGCTGGTCGGAGTTTCTCGACAGACTCGAAGTGTCCAGGTCAACGTTCAGAAGACACCTCGCCAACAGATCGGGGGTGGAGCTTCACAGCATGTAAAGTTCACTTCCCTGTATTATCATGTCACTCCTACTCTCTCCTGCCTGCTCTCTTCCGTGTCTGCTGGTCTTTACCTGGTTGTCTCAGGTGTGGATGACGCAGATGTCAGAGTGCGGGGACCATCGGCGCGCGGTTGAATTTGATTGGATCATCACTAAACGGAGGAGCCGACGCCCCCTCCGTAGAGGAGCGCTGCAATGGCGGATCCTGAAGCGCTCTGCGGACGAACGGCGGAGGAAGCTGCTGATC